GTACATCTGAATTAATAAAATGACTGTTATGAAAGGGACTCGCTCATATTACTGTAATAACAATCTGCAGAATTCAAGCAAGATTCTTTTTATTATTATTGTTGTTGTATTCTTACCCAGGTGATGACCCAGTACAGTATAAATGACAGTGAAATCTTTTATATTAATGTTATATGTTGACCTTTGACTCTGTAGCTCGTAGCTTTGCTACTAGTTTCTGCAAAAACCGTCATAGGGGTTTAATTTGTTCAGTCCTGATATATGTATTCTTTATTTGTGGGCAGTTATCTGTTGGACTGTCCTGAATGTTGAAACGTGACACAGAGTTCCCACTGTGTTGATGCAGAACACTGCTTTTCTGTTGTTTTCACTTTCTATTCATCTCTGTGACTGACCTTCTACAGAAGCCATAGCTACTTGAGCCTTCCAACAAAGAAGTATACTCTGTGCTTCCCAAACACTACAGCCAGTAGAAATAAATGATTTTCTTTTCTCCTTTATCTTTTCCTCAGGCCGGTGTGAAGGGCAAACTAGGACGCTTGCTTGGTGTATTTGAGGTAAGCTTTTCACAGGACAGGACAAAATGTGCAAATTGTATAAAATCTGCAATTATTTACTTTAAAATTGGCAAATAAATGTAGGTGTGAATTGCATGATTTTTTGCATCGCTGCATTGTAATTAAATATACATCTGTCTCTGATCCTTAAAGCAAAACCAAGATCGTAAGCACCGAACGTACGTGTACGTGTTGACTGTGACGGAAACCCTAGAAGACTGGGAAGACTCTGTCAACATAGGTAAAGTTTTGCTTCATGTCCTCCCCTTAAGCATCGATACGTGCGGTTCTGAGTGCTGCTGCTTACACCGTACTCTGTATTTTTTATTTATGTGAAGACTAGAGTACTGCAAAGAAACCACACAGGCACTGGCAGTTACAACAGGTGCCTATAAATCTAGGCCACTGATCATTACTGCAGTGGTACTTAGCTGCAGTATATTACAGCTGTCAGTGCGGCGGACGTCAGTATCCAGTCTGTGTAATCCAAAGCCTAATGTATCCCCTCTGTTCTTGCTTTGAACTCTGAAAACCTTTATAGCAGATGTCAGTTTGGTCTGTACATGGATATTTGAAGGTTTTCAGGTATATATTTGAGTTTCAAGATACAGTATCCATCTATATCTATAGTATCTTCACCCTACTTTAATGCATCGTATTAAGTATGCAAGTTTGCCTCATTGTGACATTCTGTGAACTGTTTCAATCAAGTGTCACTGTGTTTTTTTTAATTTTTTTCTTCTAACAAGTGAAAATGGGGTAACCTGCAGAAGCTATTAAAGCTCACAGTCCATTTTGTCTTTTGATATGAAGTCAAATCAGCTTGTGGAAAAGAGAAAGAAGGGGTTACGTGGCTTGTTCTGCACAAAAGTTACAGTTTGTGTGACAGTGCACTTTGCTGGTGATTAAGAAAACCTGATCTTCAGTTCTCTGTCTCCCTCTGCAGGTCGTAAGCGGGAGTGGTTCACCGTGGAAGAGGCCATCAAAGTGCTGCAGAGCCACAAACCCGTTCACGCCGAGTACCTGCGGAGGCTCCAGCTCAGCTGCTCTCCCACCAATGGGAACTCCATCCTCCCGAGCCCCTCATCAAACGACAACTACCCCCATTACAGCGCTACACCCACCACACCCTCGACGGGCAGCGTGCTGGGCTCCTCCTGCAGATAGGACTGCAACTCAACCTCCTGTCCTGTCTAGCTGAGACAGTTCACCTAAAGTCTGTACAGTCTCGTGCATGAATCTAAAGACTTTTTCAGAGTTGTGGCTCTTCTTGTATGTATAGTTTCTAATCTTAGCTGCAGGACAGACCAAAGCCATTGCCAGAGCCGTGTTAAAGACTGAGCAGGAGAAGCTGGGAACACTCTGGCAGAGAAACTGCGATTGTGGCTAAATCGAACACTTTTCTTTTGCTGGCAAACGTCAGAATGAGGAGCTGAAGTTTGGGACGAAGAAGCTGCAGACTCTGCTGGTACGAGTGACCTCGTGAAGGAATGCCTTACAGAAACTTTGTATGAATGTGGTATTGGGGTTGTTTTGTTTCACTGATGGTCCTTTTTATGTCATTTTATTTGAAAGAATATGCTGCGTGAACTCTAATAAAGCGTAGTCGACAGTGTTAATTGGTAAGAGACTGACACGTTGTATTTTAATGTAAAAGCGTGATTTCCTTTCCACCATGTTAACCATTAACTAATGACAAAATACAGTTAATTGATCTAAATTAGTATTTTCACTTAAACTTGGATGTTGGTGTTAACAAATGCAGCTGGAGTGAAGGTACTGGAGTATTTCAGTTAACCATTAACCTGTAAAACAAAAAAAAAAAAGAGTTTCTACCTCAGTGAGCCTAAACTGGATATGATGATCGCCATGGTCATGTCACAGAATGATAGCACTGCTGTGTTTATAGTTAAACATGAGCCAGTGTCTGCGAAGTTTAGTGTCGGCTAACCTTGACTGATCAAACACTGCTCTGATGTCAGTTTATGACCACATACCTTTTTATCAGTGCTCAGTGTTTCCCCCACTGAAAAGTATTCAGAAGTGCAAATTACGACCTTGCTGGGGTCGTGTGGCCGGGCTCAACTTGAGATGCTTGGAGGGAGGGAAGTGCATTGCTGTGATTTATGCTGAATGAAAACAATTGAATGATTGTCTGCTTTTCCTTTAACCAGCAGCAGTTTTCTCTCTCTTGTCTCGTGGTGCTGTTTGAAGAACCTGTCCACTAATTACATTTCCACATAAACTATGATTGCTTTGTCCTGTGTTTGCATAGGGCTGCAATTAATGCATCAAATGACTTGACAATGACTTTTTTTTTTTTTTTCCTGTTGATCTGTTAATGTCTTGGTTTATTCAATGCTGCCGGGGGAGGGGGTAATATCTACTGGATCAGTGAGTTAACTGATGCAAAGCAAAGGTAAAATGATCCAGTGACATAGTTTGATTCAAAGAAAGAAACGGTGCATTTTTAATCTGTGATAATTCTTAGCATTGCCAACACAACCTTTGCCCAAAAAGATATATGAAATCCATCTTCCTTTTCAAAAGCCAAAGAAAAGTGGCTCACCCCAGCTTTTAAATGTCACGTTTCCTCCCTGAAAACAGACTCCCACTCTCTCCTGCTTTGACGGCTGAATGACGACTAGTTACCACACACCCGATTTGTAAATAGCTTTGAGGAGAACCGCTGACAATGTGTTTTTAACCGAAATGAAGCTGTAATTTCTCTCTTTAATGTTTTATAATTTTTTTTAACAATGTACAAATGGCAGAAAAAGAAGACCTGTAGGAACTCTCCCTGACCCCCCCACTGAGTACGCACACTACAGGGTATTTGTATCACAACATAGTGACGTGCCACAGGTTTAGGATGTGAAGGTCAGCTGGTGTTTGTGTTGAGGTGATGGAGGGGGGTGCATCATGTAATAGTTGTATTAAAATGACTGACAGCAGAGAATGAGATTATATGGATGATAATCTGAAACTTTAAGATGAAAACCTTTTTAACAGACACAGACGTCACACAAGTATTGACCCAGAGTAAACAAGGATTTATTTTTATTCTTTTTTTTTCTTTTTTTTTTTAATGCAGATGCATGAGACATGCAGAGGGCTGGTGCAAACATCAAAGATCAGATGAATGCATTTGGAAATGAAAACGGTGGTACAATCCAGGCGTTTCTAATTCTTGGCTTTTGTAGGAGTTCAGTCATATCTTCAGATTTCATGCCACGTCTCACTTTATCTTCCTAGTAGATGCTGCTCTTTCACAAAACCTTATCTGCAGTATCGTAAAATAATACAGCGGTTCACCTCGCGTAAAGTCTCAGCCTGTTTCTACGTGTGTCTGGACAGAAATATGATGTGCCAAATTAAAGGAAAACAGTTTGTATCCTTATGGGAGGTAAAAGAACTTGATGTTAGTGTTTTAATCGTCTATATCGTAGAGCGAGAGGGTGGAAAAAAACATCTCAAACACTGTTTGATAAAATCTTTGTGTTATTTCAGAATATGATTGTTTTATAATGTGAAAAATCTCTTTCTAAATCCAAACTGCACCCTACATTGTTCAGATTCTCATGAGGCGGTGATTCTTTACCTCGCGCCGTTTTGAAGTTGAACACATGCGACTGAGTCAGACCACAATCTGAACGCGAGCCCAACTTGAATCCATTAATCCTGATGTTCTACAGCTCCCAGTCACATCTCCCTCCGCTTGTTGAGATGCTGTTGGATGCTCGGGTCTTTGTTGATCTGTGATTGGTCTTACTGTAAACAAGGCAAACTAAAGATTTGTTATTGTTTATCTTAATATGCACAGCAATGTTTCATGTGAAAGTGGGTTAAAGAACTGGAGAGGAAAGACCTTTGGAGAAGAGTGCATTAAAGAGGAAAAATCTTATTTCAACAGTTGTTGAGGATTTATTTAACTGATTGCAGCATATACTGTTTTTTAAATGTTTTTATATGCAAGAATTATTTGTCAAATTAATCCATAGTGTTTGTGTGTGTGTTTATACATGTATGTATGTGTGTTTGCTAGCTTCTATACTAGAGTAGGACAGTTTTCACAATGACAGGAGCTGAAAAATTTTATGATTTTGAGGGAGCTCTCACTGATCAAAGTCAAGGCTGTAAAAGTTTTTTTAGTAGCCGTAATTTACAACTTGTGAAAGTCAAACGTCGGCTCCTTTGTCTGGAAGGGCACACCTGCTGGACCCAGTTCCTCGTATCCATCGGCAGTTTCCTTTGAACACAACAGCGCAGTGCAGATCACAGAGATCTGCTGACAAAGTCCCCACCGCACTAACAGTTAGTTTTGTTGTTTTTTTTTTGACTACACTATCACAGAGGAGTAAAAAAAATACGTCAAAATTCATTGAAGAGTTTTAACAAAAGTACAAAACCGTTGAATTTGTGTTCTAAAGCTTTTTAAATAAGTTACCCAAAGAGATGTCTGTGCGTGAGAAGATGG